GCTGTGGTTTTCTGGAATGAAAGAAGACCTCTTGTTTTGCAAACCTCTTGCATTTCTAATGAGGTTTCTTTCGAATTTTTATTATATATCTGTTCTTAAACGGGAATTAAGGAGTTGGACCGGATTGTTTGACACACAAATACACACAAAAAACATGACCTGTTTTCACACTCCTAACTGGTGGTGTTTGTGTGTTAGGGCACAAGCACAGCGAGCGAGCGTGGGGTAGTAGGGGAAGCCTGAGTCTGGTCTGTGCTGCTTGTTTTTATTCTTCGAGTGTTAATGGGCACGCTCGCCAACAGTTGCTGGTAAATGGCTGATAAAAAAGCAAACAGAAAGCCCAACAAGACCCAACCAAATTTGGTAATTCATCCGGCGGAAGAGGTCGTGCGCGAGGTGTTGTGTTGTGGGTAGAAATCAAAATAAAAGTATAAGACGCAGGAACGCGCGTCAAACTCATTTGATCGCTTGGCCTTGCTTGGGAAATGCGGGTTTCGTGTCACCGTTGTAGAAGATGTTGTAGTTGATCAATCTAGACATAAGCCGAAGATAAACTTTTGGACAACTTCTGAGTCACACAGCGTCAGTTCAGATTTCTTACACAGCGACTTTTTCTTTTTCACTCTATTTCTGAGGAAAAAGCCCTCTCGAAATCCATAATGAATCTCTCCATGGCAAATCCCTCTTCTGTTTTCACATGCAAAAGTTCTTGGGCTGGTAAGAGATGGCAGTTGTTAAACAACCCCCCCGCCCCACCAAAGCGTTGCTTTGTATTAAATACTTAGTGGCAATTTACTAAGAATATTTAACCAAAGCAACAACCGGCAAGACTTTTCCTTTATAAATTTTGCAAATCTAGATTAATAAATAGAATTCTGGTTTTAAAACGCATTTCAAAATACAGGTTTAGAGGAATAATACTGTGAGCAAAAAGGACCCTTTTTCCTTGAAGGTGAGGTATGTCACCTCTTTCTCAGATCGTTCTAGGGTAGAAGAGTGTTAAATTGAAAAGTTCCATTTCTATAATTGCTTAATATACTATTGAGAAGTAGGTAGTATTACTATAAGCCAAATGTAAACCCACGTAGGCTGGGTCCTGAACATAAGCTGTAAAAAAGGTAAATTTCTGTTGGCCCGACGGTCAGAATCGTTGCAGACTTGTCCTGTGAGGCTGGCTTGAAGAATGAAGGGAATGATCAAATAGCAGGTGTTTATGTCTTATATGTAGAAAGGACTACATGTAAATTGCAACTTAATTTTAGTACTTTTTTTTTTTTTTTTTAAGAGGAATCCTTGCTCTGTCACCTAGACTGGAGTGCATGGCACAATCTTTGCTTCACTGCAACCTCCACCTCCCGGGCTCAAGTGATTCTCCTGACTCACCCTTCCCGAGCAGCTAGGATTACAGGGCACCCACCCAGCACGCCTAATTTTGTATTTTTAGTAGAGATGGGGTTTACTGTGTGGCCAGCTGGTCTCGAACTCCTGACCTCAAGTGATCTGCCTGCCTCGGCCTCCCTCCCAGAGTGCTGGGATTACAGCGTGAGCCACTATACCTGGCCCTTAGATGTGTCTTTGTGCTTTTCATGCAAGTGGTGTGTTAGTAATGGACTTCTTTTTGTAAAAATATTATTTAATTCATACAAGAAATAATTTAGTGTATATTTATTTATTTATTTTATTTTTGGAACCGTCCTCCTCTCAGGCTGGAGGTTTGGGTGGCCTGATTCCAACTCACTCCTGGGTCAAATAGATTCTCCTGCTTCAGCCTCCAGAGTAACTGGGATTACAGGGTGCGTGCCACCATTACGCAGCTAATTTTTGTATTTAGTAGAGACGGGGTTTCACCATGTTGGCCAGGCTGGTCTTTAACTTCTAAACTCAGGTGATCCACCACACCTTGGCCCCCAAAAATGCTGGGGTTAGAGGCGGTGAGCCACCACCTCAGGCCAAGTATATTTTTTGATTATTAAAAATTAAAGTATTATAAATTGAAAACCCAAACCACAATGAGATGCCACTTCACATTCACTAGCATGGCTGTAATTATTTTAAAAAATAAAAATAAAAAGTATTGGGGAGGATTTGGGGAAACTGGAACCATTATATATTGTTAGCGAGAATGTAAAACCATGTAGCACTATGGAAGATACTTTGGCAGTTACTTAAAAAGTTAAAACTTAGAGCTACTGATATGAACCTATTAATTCTCTCTTAATATATAGTCAAAAGAATTGCAAACAAATGGTCATGCAGAAACACATGCACAATGTATACAGCAGCATTATTCTCAATGACCAAAAGGTGCAAACAACCTACATGTGCATTAACTGATGAAGGTGTAATGCAAATGTGAATTGATCCATATAACAGATGTATTTCTTCCAGCCTTGAAAGGAAGGAAATTCTTGATGCGTTACACCATGAGAACCCTGAGGGCGTTATGCCAAGCGAAATAAGCCAGTCACCAAAGGAGAAATACTGTGTGATTCCCTCACATGAGGTACTCAGTGTGGTCAGATTCATAGAGACAGAAGTAGAAGGGTGGTTACCGTGCCTGGGAAAGAGCGAATGGGGTTAGTGTTTAATAGGTACAGAGTTTCAATTTGGGAAGATGAAAAAGTTCTGGAGATTGTTGTACAACAATGTGCATTTTTTTTTTTTTTTTTTTTTTGAGGATGGGAGTTCGCTCTGTCGCCCGGCTGAACTGCAATAGCCAGATCTCAGCTCACTGCAAAGCTCCGCCTCCCGAGTTTACGCCATTCTCCTGCCTCAGCGTCCCAGGCGACTACAGGGCGCCTGCCACTCGCCCGGTATTTTTTGTATTTTTTTAGTAGAGACGGGTTTCACCGTGTTAGCCAGGATGGTCTCGCTCTCCTGACCTCGTGATCCGCCCCTCTCGGCCTCCCAAAGTGCTGGGATTACAGGCTTGAGCCACTGCGCCCGGCCGTGAATGTTCTTAACACTACTGAATTGTACACCTAAAAGTGGTTACAGACAACCAGGTGTGGTAGCGGACGCCTGCAATCCCAGCACTTTGGGAGGCTGAAATGGGAGGATCACTGGAGTCCAGGAGTTCAAGACCAGCCTGGGCAACATAGCGAAATCCTGTCTCAACAAACAATGCAAAAATTAGCTAGGTGTGGTGGTATGTGCCTGTGGTCCCATTTACTTGTGAGACTGAGATGGGAGGATCACTTGAGCCCAGGGAGGTTGAGGCTGTAGTCAGCCATGATCACACCACTGCACTCCAGCTGGGACGACAGAGTGAGACCCTGTCTCAAGAAAAGAGGGGGGCAGTGATTAGAGTGTAAATTTTATGTTATGCCTACTTTACCACAATTTTAAAAAATTGTTTGAAAGAAGCCACAAACAAAAGTCTTATTTAGTGAAATTGTGTGTTGTATGATTTCATTTATATGAAATGTCCCAAATGGGCAAATTACAGGAAGTCAGTAAATACTTGCCAGGAAATGGGAGAGGAAATGGGGAGTAGGGCCAGTGATTCTCGGGTGATGAAAATGTTCTGGAATTAAATAGTGGTGATGGTTGTACAACCTTGTGAATACTATACTAAAACCCACTAAATTCTGCACTTATTTAAAAGGGTGAATTTATGGTATACAAATTAATTATATCAATAAAAATTAATAAAAAGGTATGGTATGAGGAATTGGGAAAACATTATATGTATATATATGCCTTAAGTCTTTAATCAGTTCCCTTTGTCCTTTCTGCAACAAAGTTATACCCAACCGATACTATTTTATCATAAGGTGTGCAGTCCAGAACTATCTGTATATCTTTATCTCTCTCCGTATATGTATATCTCTGTATCTATATCTCTCCAGAAAAATCTGCAAAATAGCTTGGTGAATTTTCTTTTTGATTTTAACACTTAACATTTTTTTGGCCAGTCGTGGTGACTCACACCTGTAATCCCAGCACTTTGGGAGGCCAAGGTGGGTGGATCACTTTAGCCCAGGAATTCAAGACCAGCCTGGGCAACATATCAAGACCCCTTCTTTACAAAAAATACAAAAATGAGCCAGGCGCACGTGCCTGTAGTTCAGCTACTTGAGAAGCTGAGGCAGGAGGATCATTTAGGCCCAGGAGGCAGAGGTTGCAGTGAGCCGAGATGGTACCACTGCACTCCAACCTGGGTGACAGAGCCAAACTTTGTTTCAAAAAAAATCTAGCCTCCCAGTGGCTTATTCCTGTAATCCCAACACTTCGGGAGGCCTTTAAGGCAGGAGAATGCCTTGAGCTGAGGAGTTTGAGGCTGCAGTGAGCTGTGATTCTGCCATTGTACTCCAGCTTGGGAGACAGAAACAGACCTTGTCACAAAAATAGATTAATTTAATTAAGTAAATTTCTTTTCTTTCCTTTCTTCCTTTTTTTTTTTTTTTTTTTTTTTTGACAGGGTCTCACTCTTTCACCCTGTCACCCAGGTTGGGGTGCAACAGCTCAATCTCAGCTCACTGCAACCTCCACCTCCCAAGTTCAAGCGATACTCCCAACTCAGCCTACCAAGTAGCTAGGACTACAGGTGCACACCACCACACCTGGCTAATGTTTTTTGTTTGTGTATTTTTTGTAGAGATGGGAGTTTTGTCATGTTGCCCATATATTTGTAGAGATGGGGGTTTTGTCATGTTGCCCTAACTCCTGGGCTCCACCCACCGATCCACCCACCTCAGCCTCCCAAAGTGCTGGGATTACAGGTGTGAGTCATTGTGCCTGGCCAATTTTTTCCTTTTACTGTGTGCGTCTGTGGTTCCACAACTTCCTTTTTTCCCCTGTTCTCTATGGACCTTCTACTTCATTTGGACTCTGCTTAGATTGGCCTAGTTTTCTCTTTAATCAAATCTTCAGGAAGCAATTTATTACATTAAAAATGATCTAACAAGCTTTATTTTTATCATTGTTAAAAATCCTTCTTTTGAATAACACAACCACAAAGTAAAGAATGTTATCATTGATTTAATCAGTAAAAAACAATACTTAACAATAAAATTTTTCAAACATGGCTCCAGGCCATCCAGATGACTTAGCTTGGGCTCAAGTTATCTTCCTTTGATGCCCTTCTCTTCTTCCAACGAATCTGTTTTGGAAGAAAACACAATTAAGATTATCCATCACAACAACCACTATCTCCAAATCTGTATTCATTCCTTTTATTCATTATAAGTCTCATCTACCTGATGAGATAACTTGTTTGAAGACAGGAATTGTATGCTGTTCAACAGAGCTTTGATTCTTCCACAGTTCAGTCATCCTTGCTATCTTGCGGGGGACTGGTTCTAGGATACCGCCCCCACACCATACCAGAATCTGTGGATGCTCAATCCCTTACATATAATGGTGCAGTATTTGCATATAACCAACACACATCCCCCCATATTTACTTAGCGACAGGATTGCCCTCTGTTGCTCAGGCTGGAGTGCAGTGTCACAATCACAGCTCGCTGCAGCCTCAACCTCCTGGGCTCCAGTGATCCGCACACCTCAGCCTCTTGAGTGGCTGGGACTACCTCTTTCACACACCAAACCCATTTTTTTTTTTTTTTTTTAGTAAAGACAAGGTTTCACTATGCACCAAGGTTGACCTCCCAAAGTGTTGGGATTACAAATGTGAACAACCGTGCCTGGTCCCAGGTACTTTAAGTCATCACTAATAAAATGTATCAGTATTGTACAATGGTGACAGTTGTTATACTTTTTATTTGTATTTTTGTTTCTTTTTTCAAGTATTCAGCCTCATCCAGTTGAATCTGAAGATGTGGACCTGCTGATGAAGAGGGCTAACTGTATCTAACTTAGGATCTTGCATGCAGCTAGCACTTAATACATTTTATTGACCGTTTTAGATAACATTCAACAGATAATTCCTAATAAAAACTCTTAAAAGTAGGACAAAAAGGAAATCTGAGTCCTTCCTCTAAAGTGGCTGGAAAACCAGCCTGGGCAACATAGCGAGACCTTGTCTGTACAAAAAAAAATTTTTTAATTAGCTGCCTGCCTGTAGTCCCAGCCACTCAGGAAGCTGAGGCAAGAGGATCCCTTCAGCCCAGGAGTTTGAGGTTACAGTGAGCTAGATTACACCATTGCTGTCCAGCCTGGGTGACAACAAGGCCCTGAAAAAGAAGAAAAAAAAGGAAAGGAAAAAGGAAAGGAAGGAAAGGATGTAAGTATTGAAAAGGAAGAGACAAAACTATCATTATTTGCATATGAAATGATAAATGTTAGACAGTCAAAGAAGCCTAAGAGAATCAACTAAGATTTTAGTGGAAGCAATATGAGAATTCAGTACGGTGGCTAGAAGCAAAATCAAGAGAGCAGCACACAAATCTCAAATACTTTTCATATGTACCACCATTAACTAATTAGAAAATGGAAGAAAGATCCCATTTACAATGGCAATGCAAATGTATGAAGTATTTAGGAACAAAAATACAAAGATCTTTTATCTGACAAAAGATGTGTAAGATCTATATGATGGAAATCCTAAAATTCTTCTGAAAGACATTAACAAGAAATGAATACATGACATGAAATACCATGTTCCTAGAATGTTGTACAGATGTCAGTTCTCAAATTAATCTACAAATTTAATGTAATCCTATTAAAATCCCAAGATAGTTTTTGGTGGTGGCTGCTTTTGAGACAGGGTCTTGCTCTGTTGCCCAGGCTAGAGTGCAGTGGTATGACCACAGATCACTGCATTCTAGACCTCCCTGGCTCAAGCAATCCTCCCACTTCAGCCTCTAAAATCTCTCATATGGTGTCCAAGAAATGGGGACAAATCTCACAAAGGGACTAGGCTCAGGAGGGCTGGATATTCAGGGAAGGTTTCAAGCAGATAGATGAACTTGAGTTGACTTTGGAGAGATTCATGGGACTCCCACAGGCAGAGTGAAATAAGGGCATTTTAGATGGACAGATGCACAGACCAGAGCAGAAATGCCGATGGTGTGACTGGGGTATGGTAAGGGGCTGCTCTGGCTGGAATGGAGGGCTGCCACAATAATGGAAATGGTAAATGAGGCAAGTAAGGTTGGACCGGTAGCATAGCGTCAAGGTTGCCAGCTTATTAAATCACTTCCAATATGCTAGCAGTGGCCTCTTGGGAAAAGTAATACATTATGTAATTGAACAAAAGGCAAACAGAGGCAAGCTCCAGGAATGGGCACTGTGAACAGGACTCGCCCCAGAGTAGCCAGATGTAGGCTTTAGATATGTTGATGCAGGTTGAGCATCTCTAATCCAAGGGGGATTGTCCCATATGGTGTCCAAGAAACGGTGACACATCTCACAGAGGGCCTAGGCTCAGGAGGGCTGGAGTATGAGATGCTCCCCTCCCCTGTGAACTTAAAAATGTGGCCAACAATTTTTTTTAAAAAATGGCTACTCTGTAGTGCTTTAACTGGAGCTATTTAGACAACACCTTACACACTGGAGAAGGAAGATACTGTGTGAACCTAATAAGTCTACAAGACAATACTTCTCTCTATTGGCTGTCTCCTTCCTCTCCAGGGTGATGACAACTCCGTGAGGGTGGAGATTATACGTCTCTCATCATTTCAGCAACAAGGAAATAAATTAGTGGCAGAGTAAGGGTGACTTGGTGAGTACATCCAATTGTTGACATCGTTTTGAGTGGGACAAATTTTGCTATTCTATCAACTTAACTTCTTAAAATAATCTAGTGGGATTAACTTGGTTTCAATTCATAGAAATCTCCTGGAAGTGAGGTTTCTTTAAAATCCTGGAATATACACTACAGTAAAAGAACAAAGTGTACCTCAGCCTTAAACGACTGAAGAAGAATGTCAAGTAGCAGCAGGTGGGAAAGTGGCTTTGGTTTTCAGTTTGTGGGCTCTGAATCCACACAAAGACAGCACTGCATTCTGAAAACCTGAATTAATTATTGTCCTTACCTCAATGAGGCAGAAAATTATAATCAAAGTCGTTAGAATTTCGGTCACAAATAATGCCAAGATGAGTTTGTTGTTATAGCCATATCCTGGAACTTCTTTCGTGAGCTTAAAAAAAAAAAAAAGGAAAGAATAATTTAAAAAAAACAAAAACAAGAGAATGAAAGCTAACTTTTCAAAACCCCAGTGTTCCAGGTGAGTAGCTTGCTGGTTCTTTTTTATTTTTGTTGAGATGGGATCTCACTGTCACCCAGGCTGGAGTACAGTGGTGCGAACACAGTTCACTACAGACTCGACCTCCCTGGGTTCAGGTGATCCTCCAACCTTAGCCTCCCCAGTAGCTGGGATTACAGGCATGTGTCACCACACCCAGCTAATTTCTGTATTTTTTGTGGCGACAGAGTTTCAGTATGTTGGCCAAGCTGTTCTCGAACTCCTGACCTCAAGTGATCCACCCACCTTGGCCTCCCAAAGTGCTGGGATTACAGGCATGAGCTACCACCCCTGGTCTACAGTTCACCTTGTGCACTAATCTATTTCACCCTCTACATGAGCAAAGTGGGAGATCACCATCATGGCCGAAGTTACATGACCAGGACGAGCTATGGCCTAGGAGTCCCAGGTTCTCCTGTGTGGGCACTTTCCTGGAATACACTAAATGATGGGAAATCTGGGTCTCATGTTTCTGTGGGGTCCTCACCTCACTCAACTTCTGCTCTTTCTGTTCACTCTGGGCTTCCATGCTCTCATTAATATAGTTCTCAGTTTTCCACTGGTCCGTATCCCATTCTGCCTTGGACGCCTTTACTTCCTGCTGCTCACTGAGAAGCTTCATCAGGAGGCCTGTCCTGGAGATGAGCTTGGCACAGGTCAGTTGCACACGGGTGTCAGAGCAGTCCATCTTTAAGGTCCGGATAACGTGAGAAATGAGCTTTCTCACATTGTTGTTGGGGATGAGGGACCGTAGCTGCTCGGTTAGCTGATTTTCAAACTGATCACCTGCAGACGAGAGCAACAGGTAATTGAAGCTTTTGGGCTCGGGGGACAGGTCAGTGCCCACCTTGTTGTATTCCCATTGTGTCTGATTGGTTCGTTTAACAGCTGGCCCTAAGTTGAACGCAGTCCCAGAGGAATCTGCCTCAGGAGGAGGATTGTAGGTTGTGTTTTCAGAGATGGTGCCTTCTGGCATAGTAGTGTTTTCCATAAAAATGATTGCTTCAAAGGCATTTCTTGCAGTTGTGTCCTTTACATTAGTGTTCTCTATAACACGTTCTGAAGGATCAAATAGTTTAGGAAAAGGATTTTCCTGAGGACTCCAGTCTCCTAAAGATGAAAAAGTCCCTTGTGAAAGGGAATTTATGAGGCTGTTCGCTGCAGAGAACAGCGGCCTCTTTGCAAGCATCAGTCTATCGAGATAACTTTCCTTTCTCAACTTTCTAATCTTTTTGGCCTTGGGTGTTGTGTGGGCCACGCGGGAGCAAGTTTTATGAAAGTGGTAGTTTTTTCTGGAATGTACGATTGGTTTAGCAGCCTTCATATTTGTAACTCTAGCCTTTGCATTTTCTAAAATGAAAACAGCGTGGGTTAAGTCTTTCGATCTGTCTCTGACCTCAGGTAGGGCTTTTGCAGGGGTGGAGGCAGAAGGCTCGCCCATGGAGAAGGGTTTCAGCACAGAGGAGACTGCCGC